GAGGGAGTTCCTTGTAATGACAGGGGAAAAGAGCAAGCACATCTTTATCCTACAGGGACCACAAGTTGGTGGATGATGGAGGATGATGGTGACGTTGTATGAGACAGTCGGGAGGAAGTTTAGGGCACTTGAGCAACAAGAAGCAAGAAAATTGTGCTCAAAAAGGGCGAAGCAATGCCTATCGGTGAGACGCACAATCACCCTTGCATGGAGAAAGGTAGAGCTGAAAATGACTCTGTAGGTCTAGGGAGTGAGGAAGTATGTTGAAATGGTCAAAGAGGGAATGAGACTGGAGAGTCGGTGGGGAAGAAAAGACCCAACTTCAAGTTGGGTTGGATGAAATTCAAAGTTCACCAAACCACAGGAAGCATGCATCATTTTAGTAATCTAAAGGCCCCGAGTGTGCCTCAATCCAACGAGCCCAGCAACTAGGCTCAACCTGAAAAGAAGAGGAAGCTGAGTCAGGATGAGAAAGGAAAATGAGACAAAATGAGAAAAGTTGGGTTGAGGTGAGAATGGAAGCCCATGGTCCGTGAGAAACAAAAACGGCTTAGGCTCATAATCGGGGAGGGCAGGGTGTACGACACCATCACAATGCGTAGGAGGCTAAGGCGAATTTCGAGATGTCCAACAAGGAAGGAAAAAACAGAGACCAGAGAGAAAGAAGCCCAATGGGAGAGTAGGAGAGAGGGGAAGAAACAAGACCGGTGGAAGAAAATAGGGTTGACATGTGGCCACATGAGTGCCCAGAGAAAGACAATGAAATAGCTATTGTTGTTGGCCGGGGTTCCTGTGATTACCCCTGAGACAAGATGGTGAGTCTAAAGACGAAGAGTGATAGAGATACAAGAAAATATGCAGGTTGTTGAGGGTGTGAATGGAAAAACAGGGGGAGGGTCAGGTGAAGATGATAATACCAAATGGCTAACTCAAAACATCCAAACAATCAGTAAAACACTAGAGGTGAGTTTTAAAAGGCTCGAAGAGCAAGCAATGGATTTATTTAAGGAGATTCAAAGAAAGAGGAGAGAAAAAGTGAATGGGAGTCGATTAAAGCCCTTGGTTAAGAAAAAATAGGGGCCGTCGATAAGTCTAGAGAATTGAAGAGACTACATTCCACAATTAATTATGATAAGGAGAGAAGAAGGGAGTGCAGGCAACTAAAATTTGACTATGTTAGAATGATCTCTTGAAACCTTAGGGAAAACAAAGATCAAAAGAATAGGGGATGTATAACGGTGGAAATTTGAGGTAATCTGTTTTCATGAAACTAAAGTAAGTTCCATCTCAGTCAGTATGACTTGCGCATTTGGAAGATTAGGAAGATTTGTTGGAGGGAAGTACCAGTTAAGGAGCAGCAGGTAAGATTGTAACATTATGGAATGAGCATGCTCTTTGTTGCTTGAGATCTTGGTGGAGGATTGTTCTATCTCGTGCTTATTTAAGGATAGAACAAATGAATTGCGGTGGATGTTCTCTGGAATGTATAGCAGAGGTGAGGGAAGGGAGAGGAGCAAGTTGTGGGAGGACTTAGAGGAATGCAAAAGAAAATGGATTTTCCATGGGTTGTGGGGAGTGATTCCAATATGGTTTTTTGCAAATAGGAAAGATTAGGAGAATATTTCTCTATAATCTGCGTCCATATGTTCCAAAAGATTTTGAATAAATTAAAATTACTGTATTCGCCCCTTGTTGGAGGTAAATGGACTTGGCATAACCGGAGGCTGAACTCGACCTGTTTCAGATTAATAGATTCTGTGTGCCAGTGACCTACTAGTTTAAGTATTCGGGGCTGTGTCAGAAACTCTTGTAGTGCATTATCTCTGATCACTTCCCTATTTGTTTGGATTTTGATGAGATAACACAGGCCTTATCCGTTCAACTTTTGAGGATAAATGGTTAAAAAAATGGGATTTCAGGATAAAATTAGATAATAGTGGAATAGAATAACGGTGGAAGGGAATGCAAGTTATAGAGTGGCTAGGAAACTGGGGGCTGGTAATGCTGAAATTATGAAGTGGTGCAAAGAGAAATGAGGGGGAGAATTAATACTTACTCAATCATAAATCCAGGACTTCAAAGGCATTCACAGAATGGCGGAAGGAATATCTACTGCTGACCCAGTTTGCAGAGAGTCTATCCATGTTGAAATGGTAAATAGAATTACAAATGGAAGAAATCTCTTAGAGACAAAAGTCACGAACCAAATGGATCAAGGAAGGAGATAGAAATACAAAATTCTTCCACTGCGTGGAAGAGCTGGAGATCAATGGAGGTGTCGAGGGAGGAAGACTTTCTTCAATAGGCTTTACTCAGAGGAATTTCGATGATCGTCTAAATTGAATGGCTTGAACTTTATGTCACTAGATGAACACAATCATTATGCTCATTGAGTAAAATTTTTCTGAGGAGGAGATTCTTGAAAGCCTTATGCATGCAGGAATACTAGAACTCCGGAGACCGATGGTTTCAACATTGGATTCCTCCAGAAGTTTTGGCATGTGTAAATGGTGACATTGTTGAGCTCTTTAATGAATTTCACGAAACAGGGTACTTCTTTAAAGGCTTAAACTCTATATTTTTGGTATTTATCCCAAAGCTTGAAGAGGTGACAAGGACCAAGGACTTGAGATCCATTAGTCTACTGGGATGTATCTATAAACTCATTGCTAAGTTTTGGCAAGAGAATGAATAAAATGATGGGGAGGATGATGAGAGAGTATCGACATGCTTTTTGGGGGATAGATAGATCTTGGATGTGACCCTAATTACAAATGAGATTATAGACGAATTGAAACAAAAAAATTTTCGAGGGGTTTTTTGCAAACTCAACATGGAGAAAACCTACAATCATGTGAATATGGGCTTCCTTGATTATATGATTGAGAGAATGAGTTTTGAGGATAAATGGAGGAAGTGGGTTAGATGCTGCATCTCTACAACCTCCTTTGCTATTATGGTTAATAGGGGATCATCATCTTTTTTGAAAGCTAACAAAGATCTTAAACAAGGAGATCTCTTGTCCCCTCTACTTTTTATCATTGTTATGGAGGCACTTAAACAGAATGATCTCAAGGGCCAGAGAGCTTGAAATGTTTAAGTAATTGAAGATGGAAAATTGGGAGCATGTGGAGGCGGCAATTCACTTAGTTTTTGCTGATGACTCATTGCTTTTTGTGAACCAAGTGGAAGGGCTATACTCAATAGTAGGTATACTTTGTTGAGCTTCCAAGCAGTATCAGGTCTCAATATTAATCTTACCAAATATAAGTTGGTGAGACAAGGAGATTAGAAGGATGCTAGTAGCTTGTCTAGTATTCTTGAGTGCAAACACATTAACTTGTCAATTAAGTATTTAAGACTACTACTGGAGGCCAAATACAAGGAGGCCTCGAATTGGGATCTGGCGGTGGCACGCTTTAAACAAGGGTTGGCCTGGTGGAAGAGACATGCTGCCTTTGTGTGAACTGAGTGGAAGGGCAATGCGCAATATTAGATGTATTTTGTTAAGTTCTCAAACAGTATCAAGTCTTAATATTAATGTCACCACGTCTGAGTTGGTGAGACAATAAGATGAGAAAGATGCTAGTAGCTTGTTTAATATTCTTGGGTGTAAAAATGTTAACTTGCCAATCAAGTATTTAAGACAACTACTAGGGGCCAAATACAAAGAGATCTCGACTTGGAATCTTACGACGACATGCTTTAAACAATGGTTGGCCTAGTGGAAGAGAAACCTCCTATCTTGGGAAGGGAGGGATGATGGAGAAAAACTCTCACTAACAGTACTATTACATGTCTTTGATGACAATCCTTGTGAGTATGGCCAAGAGACTCGAGTCCATACAGTGCAGATTCTTATGGGGAGATTCCGAGAAGAAGAGGAAGTATAACCTTGTGGCTTGAAATAAGGTCAAGAAATCTATTCATCTAGGTGCACTAGGATTGAGATCATTAGTGGAGGTCAACAAGGCTCTTCAGGGAAATGGCTTGGAGATTCATGAATGAAAATAGCAGTCTCTAGTGGAGGGTAATGGAAACAAAGTTTGGCTTAATGGACAGAGATTAGTTCACTAAGGTTGTCTCTAGACCTCATCCTAACAGTTTGTGGAAGAAAATCTGCATGGGTAAAAAGGAAGTTTCACAACTGCATTAGATGGTGGATTGGCATTAGGGGCAAGATCAGGCTACTACATGACAGCTGGAATAAAGGTAGTACTCTTAGAGCTCAATTTCCTTAGATCTACGCTATTACGTGATACGAGGATGCTTCGATCCGGGATGTCTATATTCGCACTATGATGAATGGGAGTGATCTGTGGAGGTCACAAGGAATCTTGATGAATGGGAAGTTAGAGAGTAATAGACCTTAGCCCTTGCCCTTGCTAGGGTAGACTTGATGGGACTAGAGATCGACCTCTTTAGAGCCTACAACGCTAGAGCAATCATTTTTTGTCAGATCTTTTTACAACTACTTGACGAAAAGAGAGGTTATGGATAGAGATCCTTCCAAGTAAATTTGGAAGGTCAATGCATCACGAGAATTGCTTTTATTGCTTTGGAGGCAACTGGAGGATGCATTTTAACATCGAACAAGGTGACCAGGTGGGGCTGGATTCTAGTGAATGGCGGTTATCTGTATAAAAAGAATGTGGAATCATGTAACAGTGTCCTATTATGGTCCCCCTTTATAGACTTTGGACTCTTGCTTATGGCCTATTGGGTACCAACTAGGTTATGGCTTAACTCGGTGAGGTAGAAAATAGGGGCATAGAAAAGAATCAGTAATGAGAAGAAACATGTTAACCTTATTTGTCTGACTACTTTTTAGGTGGTATGGAAGGAAAGGACTATGAGGACTTTGCGAGCATAAAATGAGTTTGATAGGGTTAAAGATAGCTAGTTCTAAACTTTAGATTTTTTTATTAAGGGTCATCCTCTCTACCCTTTGGAGGATTTTGAGGTCCTTATTAACATTTTAATTTTGATAAAAAAATATTTTCGTATATGGATTTGCACCCTCTTAGTGTCTGTAAATGAATATACTACACTTTTATTTTTTTTTCCAAAAAAAGTCCTATTTGACCACCTATCTTCAAGGAATATTATTCTTGAGAATTTTCTATGGGAAAAAATCTGAATGAGTCTCTTCCACGAATACCCTTGTGTATGAGGGAGGCAACATGGAATAGGATTCTTATGATTAACAACATAGGAAGAGAAGTAGGGTGCTAAATGGATGCTTTCTATGTTTGCAAGATGCCAAACCACTTGAGAAGCCTAGAAACCACCTGCTATCACTTGATGCTTTTTTTCAACTAAGCTGCAGAACACTACTCTTGAAGTTCCTTAATCTTAGAATGGTGATTGAACCTTTTACTATTATAGAAGCTATGGGCTTACCAAGCCCTTCATGCTTACTAGAAGAAAATTATTGAGCTTATTCCTCTGGCTACTATGAGGATTATTTGGAGGGGAAAGGACATGCTTTTGGAGGTGATTGTTCTCCTTTGGGTAGGAAACACCATTGGTCTTAGAGCTTTATTCTTCCAGTAATCCCTTTTCTCAGAAGACTTTAGAAGATTGTTGATATTTTGACTAACTTATAATAATCCATTCTTTTGTACATGGGTGGTGTCTCCTTGATGCCATGCGAAACTCATTTTTAGTCTTGAAAGATAAAAATAAATGATAATAACAATACTCACCTTTTGGCTTAATTGCAGTAGAGTATCAGTGCCATAGTTTCGTGTTTCTTCCGGAAGTGATGATAAGACCACATCTAGAATTGAGTCCTTCTGGACACCTTCAAGATAAGTCTGCAGTGCATCTATTTCTTTTTGGATTGGTAATCCTTTTGAGAGTGCATCCTCCAATGCAAGTGCTCCCTGCAAGATACATGAACTCGATCAAACATCAATGTTGAGGGCCAGAAAAGATCAATAAAGAAATATATAAGAGAAGATATAATCTCATGCTCTAATTATGAAAATAAGATATGGGATGTAAGAGTGGCACCATAAAAAGAGAGAAATTTTACCGAAGAAAGCTTGTGAATAAAATGACTCTTACGTGCCTCTTCAGATCGTGCATAGAATGCCATACACAATGCATTTATCTGCAAAAGATTAATTTAGGTCATTCACATTTCACACAACAATAAGCTGAGGAAGCAAAAAGGAATCATTGTGAACAAAGGATTAGAAATGAAAGTGCACTTTTCTTTTTAACAAAGTAGAAAGTTTGGGATTCTTTCATCTTTTCTCTTCATGGCAGATGGCTAGGAATCCATAAAAGTGATAGCACATAAAACAATCAAATTCTGGTCAAGTTTAAAACCTACCACTTTGATACCATTGTAAAAGAACAAAATCAAATAATTTTCTTGTTATTATGTCAAAGAAATAACATGTATCCACAGAATCTAACTACGAACAAGAAAAGGAGGAAACTTTAGAATCTAACTAAATGGGTCGTTGACTTTAATAAAACCTACCTATTTTGATATTTTAACAGATTTGTAAAGTTTTTGTATACGGATTGCATCTGTTAGGTGTTGGTCATTACTACCCCTAGTCTTTTGAAAAAAGAAGCTATGTACAATATTAACCATACAGGAAAAGACTAAGGAAAATAGCTTATTATTAATAGGCTATGCAGGAAATGTTCTTGTTCTCCAACAATGTCTACTGATACTACTGCTAATGTGACTAGGAAACTAGCAAGAACTATAAAAAAACTCCTAATCACAAATATAATATAAATCCTAATCAAACAGAGGTTGAAAAAAGAAGACTTGAAAAGTACTATAAATAAACTTCAGACTCCTACACTAGTTCTGAAAAAATCTAGCAACACTTATGCCAATGCGAAATTAACCATAAACTCTAATTTAAAGTTAGATACCACTATGTTCTTGAATCATTCTGTCAAGCCTTTCTAAACCTTCAACAATTGAGATAATGTTGTGAAGTAGATTTTTAACATGAATGCATTCAGAACTATTTTGGTTCTCTTATCATAAATGATTAAAAAAGTTCAGGAAGTAATCACAAATTAGTGCCTTAATTTAATATTTTGGTAACCACATTAAGAAAATTGTAGAAAAGGCAATTCTAGTTCAAAAAAGAACCTACCACCAAATTTATATACATTTTCCTTTAAGAAAAAATCATATATACATGCATAGAGTTATCAAGACTGCTGGATGAAGCTGCTACAACATAGTCTCTTATTACATTTCCACATGCCATTTTTTTTTTCTTTCCATAATGCAGAAGAAATAACACTATGCTAAAATTAATACTCAATTCTCTTGACAAGGTTAAAAAAAAGGGACTTCTCTCACAAACCTGATATATGATTCAAATCTGGATGAAAGAGGAAAAGGGAGAGGAGAAAGCAGAGAGAGAGAAAAGAGAAAAAAAGCCGAAAATCGGCTAGATTTGAGAGAAAAATATATTTTGATTTCAATAACTTTTTGATGATTACATTAGTAGAAGAGACATCTATTTACAGGCTATAAATGATAAGGCGAAGAGCAGTAAAGTCAGGCAGTTTTCACCCAGCAATTGTGGTGGCAGCCACAGGGAAGGGATCTGAGGTGATTGTCTCAGTTGATTTGGTCAACCCAAAATCGTAACCCTAATATGCACACGCAAAATGACTAATTTACCTTTGTGTATGAATTTCCCTTTTCACCCTACATATTAATTACCAATTTCCTAACTTACCCTGGTACCTTACAATACCCACTTCTTGAGCGTCAACCTTGTTCCAAGGTCAGATCCAGCATTCTATTATCTAATGCCAAAGACCTGGTGACCCTCAAATATATGCGGTTGTTAAGATAGCTTTTTCTTTTTATTTTTATTTTGTTCTTTGTTTTTCTTTTTGTTTCTTTTGTTTATTTTCCCAAAAAATAAAAAATAAACCTTCGCTTGTTCTCTTTGTCACTTTCATCATCCTCCTCATTTCACTCCCTTTCTCCCTGTAACAATTACTTTGTTTTTTTTTTGTTATTATCGTTATTATTATGATGATTATTATTATTATTAAATTACTTGGTTTCCTTGCTCCTCCATCTCTCTTGAAACCTTTCATCTTCATCTTGATTGTTTAAAGCGAAGGCATGACCAACGCCTCCGCTGCTACTTGCAAGATATTGAGTAAGATCACTTGCAATCGACATAGTGAGTGGAGCAGAAATAGCGTGAAGGTCTCACACGCCGTCACCTTGACGCCCCACACCAAGGTCGTCGCCGTTGTTAGTCGCTCCGTCTCTCACCGACATGGTGAGCTCTTTTTCCTTTCGTCTCTTATTCTTTTGCTTCTTCTATTTATATCTCTTCTTCTTCCGCTTCTTCTTCTTCTTCTTCTTCTTCTTCTTCTTCTTCTTCTTCTTCAAGAATGGGTCTTAACCGGTTTGGTTCAGTGAATTAGTCCGGTTCGAATCAGACAACTTTAGAGTTTTATCAGTCGGTTCAATCATTAAACCGGTTTTAGGATTTTTCTCCTTTAAAAGTCAATTCATCTATTCTTTTTTCATTCTCTTCGCGCTGCAAAGGGGAAAAGGAAGTGATTCCGAGGAGAGCTCCACCATGAATCATGTCCACCAAGAGGTCTAGTTGTTGTGCATCTTATAATTCTCCCTCCGAATTTTTGCCCATATCTAGTCGGACACCACCATCTCCCATTTGGATCTGGTGCATGGTTCTAATACCATCTTATCCATGAACTTGATACATGGTTTCGAATATGGAAGAAAGAGAAAGAAAGAGAAAAAGAGAGAAAAAGGAAAGAAATTCTAGGCTAGATTTTAAGAGAAAATGTATTTTTGATTTCAATAATCTTTCAACATTTATATTCGTAGAAGAAACATCTATTTATGGGCTATAAATGATGAGGAGAGCCTGAACGGAAACAACTCAGTTGTTGCCGCAGCAACGATAGGGAAAGGATTTAAGGTGTTGTTCCTTAGTTGATTCGGTCAACCCAAAACCCTAACCCTAATCCATACATGTTAAATGACTAATTTATTCCTGCGTATTTCTTTTTTTTCCCTACATATTAATTGTCGATATAGATAAATTTAGAAAGTTAGAATTTACTTCTAAAATATGAAAGTTTAAAATAAATATCAGATTTCATGAGATTTGAATAAATTTCAGAAAGTTTGAAATAAATCTCAGATTTTGTGGGATTTGAATAAATCTTAGATTTCATGGGATTTATTGTTAATCTGATTTTGTGCTTTTTCTCTCTAATATATATGTAATTTGTCATAACCAGAAAATAAGAAAAACAATTCTCTCCTACTTTTCTTTCTCTATTAATTTTTTTCACATGGTATTAGAACTCTAGGGATCGATCATAAATTATAAAACAGCCATTGTTAGTTTTGGAACACCCAAGAGACAAGTGATACTATTTCTACAGGGACTGATTCTCAGTCACTGTCGGTTATCTCCTCTATACCTTCAACTATCTCCCTCACTGAAAATTCATTTCAGATTACCATTCATTTCAGGTTTGTGTTGCCTCCTTCGCGCATGGTGTCTAGTTCCGTCGTGGACACCCGGAGCGGTTTTAGGTTCACACACGATTACTGCGTCATCCCGGGTTTCCAGCAATGACACCTCTGTTCTTCCAGCTTCAAGCTTCTGATTCAGCCTCTGTTTCTCTCTGGATTTTTTGTTGCCATCTGCAACTCCGTCCTAGCACCCACTTCAGTACTTGTTTCCAATAATCTTCTCTAGTCTTGCAACAATTTTTGGGCTTTGATGTTGTTTAAGAGGTTTGTTCTCTTTCTATGATATTCGATATTCAGTATTATTTTCGTATTTCTAGTATTTAAACATGACAAAAGCAAAGAAACTAATTGTTCCTAATTCCGACAACCCGTCATTGCAAATAAGTCCTGTAAAATTTAATGGAACTAATTATCTTACTTGGTCAAAATCTTGTTTACTGTTTATCGAAGCCAGAAGATTGCAGGATTATATTACCGGTGATTAAAAGAAACCAGATGTCAGTAGTTTGGAATATCACAGATGGAACTCCGAGAATTTCTTAGTAATGTCTTGGCTCATCAATTCCATGCAACCTCACATTGCCTGAACATATCTATTACTTAATACTGTAGCAAAAATATAGAATACAACTTCTCTTACATATTCACAAGTGGGTGATGATACTCAAATTTATGAACTCCGGAATAAGGTCCACAGCATAAAATAAGGAGAGTTAACTATCTCTCAGTATTTTTCTAAACTTAATGGACTATGATAGCAGCTTAATTACTATCAAGATTTTCAGGCAGATTGCCCCAGGAGCCTGTCAAATTTCAAAAAATGATAGAAAATGGGTGGATTTATGATTTCTTGGCTAGTCTGAATGCCGAATATGATCAGATACGGGTCCAAATACTTAGTAAGGTTCTTCTTCCTTCATTAGAACAGACTTATTCTTATGTTCAATAAGAAAAAAATAGGAGAATCGTCGTGCTCCACAGCACCAATTGAAAAAACTGGGTTAATTGCTCAGTCTGATCACTCCAAAAACCAACGAAATTGTTATTATTGTGGTAAACCGAGACACACTAAGGAGGCTTGCAGAAAATTGCATGGACGACCCATTAGAGGTCGTGGAGAAAGAAAAGGTGGACCTATACGAGCTCAAACAAACTTGGTTGAAGCAAGTGAAGTACCTGACACATCAACAGTTGAAACTTTTTGAACTGAAGAGCTTCAAAACTTGAAGTGTATTCTGTATCAATTCAACTCTTCAAGAACTATTAGTACATCAAATATGGTAAAATTAGATTTTCTTTCTTTCTCTCTTATTTCCACTCCTGATATTTGAGTAATATATTATAGAATTAATAGACACATGACAGGCTCTTCCACTGAATTTCTAACATATTTTTCTCGTACTAAAGGAGAGAATGTTCGTATAGCAGATGGGTTATATACTCTTGTGTCTGGAACAAGTTCCATTAATTGTACTCTGACTATTACACTGTCTTCATTTTTACATGTGTCTAGTTTTCCTAATAACTTTTTATCTATTAGTGTCATTACTCGAGATCTAAATGTAAAATTGAATTTTTTTTCTGATTATTGT